CACACGAAGTCTGTCATGAAATCAAACTCATTCTGTCCCAACCAGAGCTCAGGCAGCTCCTTGATACGATCCAAGCCCATTTCTACGACTAAGGACATAAGGACTTCCTCGTCTATGAAGTCAGTGTCTATGACATTGGGCGGCAGCATTGCTGCAGGGACGTGGGCCACCGAGGCAGGCACAGTGCCGCTGCCAGTATTGCTGCTGGTGCTGGTGCTGTGCTTCGGGTTGCAGTCCCTAAAATGCTGGGTAGCTCCGTTGAGCTGATGGCTGGCAGGGTGCAAGTCCGGCATGTAGTGGTTGTGAGGGTAGGGGTGGTGGCTGAAGTATTGGTTGTTGAGCTTTTGCAACTGCATGCTGGCCGTCAAGGGCCCACCTTGAGGAGCAACTGTAGGAGCCATGAACTGAGAATTGCTAAACCTTGCCGTGGGTGGCAGGGTGCCTGGTGGGTGCCCGCCGTTCACATTCCCGGGCCCCATGGCATGCCTGATTCCAGCATTTGCACTCATATTCCCACCTCCATAGTGTATATGGTCGCTCATCAAGGCACTGAAGGCGTGTTGCTGCTGCTGATGGTGGTGGGTCGGAAACTGACCCATTCCCATTCGATGCGCTGGGTGGTGATGCATCCCATTGGTTCCATCGGGGAAGCGCCCGTGATTCATGGCCATCATGTGGTCTGCCATTGCCAGCTTTTTCAAAGTTAATGTTTACAGAGAGAGAGAGGGAGAGAGAGAGAGAAAGAAATAAAGGAAATAAAACCTTTTTTCCTTTTGCCACAGGCACCCAAAAAGACCCCCCTCTTTTCTGAGAAGGCAATCTGAAGTCGTCCAATGAGTGTGTGTGTGTGTGAAAGGTTGTGCCACCCACTCTGGTTGGTTCTTTGCCTTTTGAGGGTGATCTTTCTGGCAAGGCAAAGGCAGGTTGGAGGTTGTTGTTTTTCTTCCCCCTTCTCAGGTTGTGCAAGGCGCCCTCGTGCAAAAGGGGAGGAAACCAACAGCCGCAACTCTTGCACACCCCCCCCCCCAGGAACTAAACCCACCAGGCAAAACACAACACACACCTCTTCCTCTCAGTCCAAATAGGTTCCCCTCCCTCCCCATGGCATGGGCAAAACAGATCCATCTTAGTATCTATCTATCTATCTATCTCTATCTATTAATTAAATGCAGGATCTCATAGCCTTAAAAAACAAAAACAAAAAACCTTACATAAGGGGCTCCAGATGCCCCAGACCTGTCCGACCTTCCTTCTCAACAACTTTGAGAATCAAACCTCTGCAAAGATGGCTAGGGAAAAAAAAAATGGATTCTAATGGGGGGGGGGGGGGGGGGTCTGTGGTTAAAACCTTTCCCTCCCAGTCATCCCATCTTATCCCACTCCCTACCCTCCAGGATAACAGGGCAGCAGCGGGTGGAAAACAACAACAACAACAGGGAGACGGTCACACTGTCTCTGACACACACACAAACACAAACACACTCACCTCACTCCCTCTCTGTTCTCCTTTCTCTCCAAATGGACCGAGGGGGAGGGAAGGAACCGGTCAGCAAAGCCACTCTCCCAGCATAGAGCAAAAGTCTTCGGACCGGCTTCAAGGAGGAGAGGGTCTTGGGGTGGAAAAGAAGGGCTGTGGTGGTTGTGGTTGTGGTTGAAGGGCAGTCAGCCTTCCAGCTCCTGCAGGCAAGACTTTCCTCCCTCCAGCCCTTTGCCAACAATGAGCAGTGTGCCTTCGCTCCTTTGGCCGCGGCTCATATAGGATTTCAAAAGGGAGGAGCGAAAGCCCGCACTTGCAACCAGAAGGAAAGAAAACCTGGAGTAAGCCAGCCAGGGACTGAGGGAGAAAGAGAGAGGGAGGGAGGACCAGCCCAGGAGGAACTGGAAGGAAGTGGCTGGGCTTTGCAAGGGCGAGGGTTTATTTAGCTACTTGGCTGCATCCGCACTGCAGAGTTAACCCGGTTTGAGAGCGCTTTCAAGGGCAGGGGTGCCATGCGCTGGAATTCTGGGAATGGTCGTTGGTTGTGGCACCGAATGGTGCCACAACCAACGACCATTCCCAGAATTCCAGCGCATGGCACCCCTGCCCTTGCAGCGACCATTCCCAGAATTCCATCGCATGGCATCCCTGCCCTTGAAATTCCTCTCAAACCGGGTTAACTCTGCAGTGCGGATGGGTCCACTGAGGCTGGGCGTGAGGCGCAAACACACCGACAACTTGGAGGCGCCAATCCCCATCAGGAGAGGGGATGGCTGGCTGGTTGTAAAGCAGCCTCAGACATTCATCGAAAGCAACAATAGCAGCTGCCCACTGCCCTCCTCCTCCTCCTCCATCATCATCTCCACAATGGCGAAGAGCAGGGTGAGCAGAGGTCCTCACTGCCAAGGAGGACAAGGCACCGCAAAATGGAGGACCTCCGGAGAAACGATGGAGGACAAGACCCACTAGAAACTCAACCCGCCCCCCTAGAAATGTGGATGCGCGCTGCTCAGTCCTGCTGCTCCAAATGGAGGGCATTATTATTGGACTTCCTCCTGGGCAGAAGCTTGAAACACTCCTAGAAATCTAAATTCATGCTTCTTAGGGGGGTTGCAGACTGCCAGAAATAGTGCAAATTGAGTCCACTTTTAGGGTGAGGGTTAGTGCTAGGGAATCATGGGAATTGTTTTGTTTTTTTCTGAGAGATTGAGCCTTCTTTGTCAGAGAGCTCTGGTGCCACAATAAAATACAGTTCCCATGATTCCCTAGCCCTAACCCTAACCCTAAAAGTGGACTCAATTTGCACTATTTCTGGCAGTCTGCAACCCCCCTTAGTCGTGTCCAGAATGGAGGACACCGAAGACAAATATGGGACGTGACCGAATATAAAAGCTCAGAAGAAACTCCTTGAAATGTAAATGCGTGCTTTTTAGCCCTGCTCCAACTGGAGGACATAATGGAATTCCTCCTGGTTGAAATGGAGGACAGGTCCTGGGAAGAGGAGGGCCTCGGGTCACCCTGAGCTCCAAACACTCCTGGAAATGTAAATTCATGCTTCTTAGCCCTGCTCAGACTGGAGGGGGACCTTGAGGAAACAGTGGAGGACAGGACCCAATAATAAAAGCTCAAAAGAGATTATTATGTCAATGGAAATGTAAAAAAAGCGCAAAACACTCTTAGAAATGCCAGGCTCAGAATGGAGGAGGACATTATGGATTCTGTGTAGGACAGAAGGCTGGAATGGAGGGCAGGTCTTGGGAAAAGGAGGGTCTCTGGTTACCCTGGGAGGAAAATTGGGACAGAGCCTGAAGCGGTGCCACTTTGTGAAGCCGGGGGCGGCTTTCGTCGTCCGCCTCGCCTTCCGCCGCCTCAGGCGCAACCAAAAGGCGGTCATTTTGGTCCCCAAAGCCGGGCACACAGACACACAGAGAGAGACACACACGGGAGGCCCAAGCCATCCAAGCCATGCTTTGGAGGTGGCTGGCACCTTTGGCGTTGACCCTCCCCAGTTGAGCTTGTTGTGGGCATTCACACGGAGGCGTCTCTTGGGTTGGCAAACAAACTCAGGCAGCCTTGCTCCGGAGAGACGTTTCTGTCGCCTCACACACACTTTAGTTTTTCCCTCACAAACCCTCCTGTGTGTCTGTGTGTTTGTGTGGAGGCTTGCCCTTGGAGGGGTTGGGAAGGGCAAAAGCGCCTCTGGAGGTTGTACATTTCTGCAGTGGAGGAAAAGGAGGAGGTTTTGCAAGGAGCCAAGCACACGCACCAACCCTGTGGGCAGGTTTAAAGGGCTGTAAAAAGATACTTCAGAGAGAGAGAGAGAGAGAGAGAGAAGAGACGGAAGAGAGGCAAAAGGCGGGCCATTGCTCTGTAAATAAAGCACGACGCGACACCATAATACCAGCAGAAAACCTCACAGACCTGAAACACCTACTAAGGAGGATCAAAGAAGACAGTGCTTAATGTTGAACATCAAGAAAACAAAAATGATGACCACCGAGGACCTTCACAAGTTCAACCTAGACCAGGGGTAGGCAACCTTTCCCCTTTAAGGGCCGAGGGACTTCAGCTCCCAGAAGCCTCAGCCATGTTGGCCAATAGTCCCATGTTGGCCAATAGCTTCTGGGATTCTGGGAGCTGAAGTCCCTCGGCCCTTAAAGGGGAAAGGTTGCCTACCCCTGACCTAGACCATGAAGAAATAGACATAGTAAAAGAACCCCCACACCTGGGATCAAACATTAATAGAAATGGGGACTGTAGTCAGAAAAGCAGAAGAAGATTAAGAATGGGGAGGGTGGCTATGAAAGAACTAGAAAAGATCCTAAAATGCAAAGATATACAACTGAAGACAAAAGTTAGACTCATACAAGCCATTGCATTCCCTATTACTATATATGGATGTGAGAGCTGGACAGTTACAAAAGATGATAGAAAATCAATTCCTTTGAGATATGGTGCTGGAGAATAGTGCTGAGGATCCCATGGACAGCCAAAAAGACAAATAAATGGGTGAGCAGATCAAACCGGAAACCTCCCTGGAAGCCAAGATGACCAAAATGAGGCTGTTGTACTTTGGACACATCATGAGAAGAGAGGATTCATTGGGAAAAAACAATAATGCTTGGGAAGGTGGAGTTAGGTAGGAAGTGAGGAAGGCTGCATGCCAGATGAATGGACTCTATCAAGAAGGCCACGGGTATTAAGGGGTTGCAGGAATTAAGAAGAGCAATGGAGGACAGAGCGTCTTGGAGATGTCTCATCCATAGGGTCGCCATGAGTCAAGATCGACTTGAGGGCAGTTAACAACAACAACAACCCACCTGGGTTGTCCATGGCCAACCGGTGCTTCCACCCTTCTTCTGCACCCACACTGCAGAAGTAATCCGGTTTGACACCACTTTAACTGCTGTGGCTCCATGCTATGGCATTCTAGGGACTTTAGTTGGTTGTAGCACCAGAGACCTGGCTTGTTTCATTTCACATGTCCATAGTGTTAGAATGAAAAGATTGAAAGGTGCTGGACTGCTCTGTGGTGTTGTGGTTTGAGCTGTTAGACTGCAACTCTAGAGACCAGGGTTTGAGTCCTGGCTGGGCCGTGGAAACCCACTGGGTGGCCTTGCGCAAGTCACACACTCTCAGCCTCAGAGGATGCCCCCTCCGAACAAATTGTGCCAAGAAAACCCTATGAAAAGTCTCCCGTAGGGTTGCCATAAGTCGGAAATAACTTGAAGGCGCACAACAATAACAATAAAAGGAATTTATCCTTATTTTTTCTATGTTATTTCTGCCTCTGGCACTGCATTTTCAGTTAAAGAAGGAATGCCCAGGAACACTTTTTCTTCATAAATGGAGGTATACCTATAGTGTGAAAAACCCAGAACTGGTTGTCTTTTCAATAGCCACCATTTGAAAGCCATTGATTGGACAACTACAGTATTTGTCCTTGGCACACCTCAGCTATCCTTTAGTTCGTAACTCATCAGTTAGCAGAAGATGTAGGTGTAGTTTCTCCCAACGTTGTGCCTAACATGGGTCATAGGTTGTAGGCCATCTTGTGTCCTGTGCTGGGAGAAAGGTGAGACATAATTTAAACAAGTAATTCATTGATAGGCCAGGTTTCCCAACCTAATGTCCTCCAGATATGCTGAGTGACAGCAGGTTGCTCCCATGTCAGTGGCATGTGAATCTGCTCTAGGTTTCAGTCAGAATTTTAAAGGAGTATCCCAAGTTGCTGAATCTATTTTGGTGATAGATTCAACACCCTACATAGCTTCTTTAAAGTTCTGAGTAAACACTAGTCTATTCTCCCAATGTGGAATTCACTAGCCACTGGTGAATCACAAATCACATCATCCTTATCCAACATGGCCTTGAAGAGGGCTTCTCTAGGTGTTCTTTCTCTCATTCTCCATATGTTCATAAGGTTTAATACCTTAGGTGTCAAAAGTTCATCTTTTCTCCCTTGCATGACAGTCTCCATACTCTACTCAAATGTGTTGTTGTTGTGTGCCTTCAAGTCATTTCTAATAATAATAATAATAATAATAATAATAATAATAATAATAATAAACAACTTTATTTTTATACCCCGCCTTTTGCCTGAAGGCAATCAAGGCGTCTCACAACAATTGCATATATAAAACACCCCCACAACAAACAACAGTAACATAAAAACAAGTTACCCCCTCTTAAAATTACATGATACTAAATTTTTTAAAGATAGCTGGCGTACTCACACCAGTGATTATAAAATCTGACAAAACATAAAAATCTAGACATAGAAACAGAGATGGAGAGAGACATACATTAGATATGGTCTGATTTTATTCAGGGAAGGCCTGCTGGAAAAGATCCATTTTGATGGCTTTTTTTTGAAATTCTTCAAGCTAGTTGCTTGACGGATCTCCTCCGGCAGGGCATTCCATAGTCTGGGAGCAATGACGGAAAAAGACCTCTGGGAGGTTGCTGTTAATCTAGTTCTCTTTTGTTGGAGTAAATTCCTCCCAGAGGACCTGAGGGTGCAGGGCGGATTATATGGAAGGAGGCAATCCCTTAGATAGGTTTGACCTAGGCCACATAGGGCTCTAAAGGTCATCACCAACACCTTATACTGTGCTCGGAAACCGATAGGCAGCCAGTGAAGGGATTTCAAAACTGGTGTAATGTGATCCCTTCTGGATTTCCCAGTGACTAACCTGGCTGCCATATTTTGCACCAATTGTAGTTTCTGAACTAGGTATAAGGATAGCCCCATGTAGAGTGTGTTACAAAAGTTGAGTCATGAGGTTACCAGTGCATGTACTACAATTTCTAAGTCCTTTATCTCCAGGTAAGGGCGTAGTTGGCGTATCTGCCAAAGCTGATAACAGGCGGTCCTGACCGCCGCATTCACCTGATTGGTCATGTAAAGCGACGGGTCCAAGAGCACCCCCAAGCTGTGAACACAGTCCTTCGAGGAGAGTGTGACCCCTTCTAGGACTGGAGATTGTATCCCAATACCTGGTTTAGGGGCCCCTTCCGTAAGCACCTCTGTTTTCTCTGGATTCAGTTTGAGTCGGTTTTTCCTCATCCAGTCCATTACCACTTCAAGACATTGATTGAGGGGAGAAATACCATCTGTCGTCATGGCTGATGACCGAGATATGGAGAAATATATTTGGGTGTCATCAGCATACTGCAACGGCAACTCCAAGGTGGACCTATCATTGGGTTTTCTGGGGCTGAGAGTGTGTGACTCCTTCAAGGTCATCCCCCTGGGTTTTCATGTCCAACCAGGAAATTGAACCCTCATCGATAGAATCATAGTCCAGTGCTCAAAACACTACATCACACTGGCTCTTAGACTAGTAAAAATACTCTGAACATATAAGAATGATTGTATACAGCATGATCCCCATCTTGGGTTTCACTTACCCATGTCTGAAAAAATATGTTCTCTCGAGGCATTTCTAGGTCCTCCAGTGTGATTCTATGGTATGTTTTTGCTGGAAATCTTTTGTCTCATTGAAAATGATAGGATTCCCTATTATCCACTGTTTCAGATAACTACGTGGGGAGTCTTGGAATGTAACCCCTGTAAATACAGGAGGTTGTATTGTACTTTAACTCTTTTTGTTCCTTGTGTTCTCTCCACCAGCTAGCACAACATTTGCCTTCTTTCCTCCAAGATTTCTTTTCTTTTGCTTCATTTTAAAAAATGAACTTATTAAAACTTTGTGCAGTATCTAGGCTATTTTGGGCACTTAAAAATTACGATGATGATGACAACGATGATGATGATGACAGACCACAGTCGTTACCAAGCTCAGTACCCGAACTGATAAAGTACTGCCCAGAAACTAAGCTTAGTTTTCTACTTCTGCTACTTGAATCCATTGAGTTGTAGGAACCTGGGACTTTACGTTATATATTCAAAACCTGAGTTATTGGTCCCTCCATTGGCCTGTGGGCAGAGCTTGGAAAACCTACCTTTTAGGACAGTAGCTCCTCAAAATCTCCCAGCAGATACGACTGTAGAATAGTTCTCAAATCTCAGCATGGACAATTGTACCCACCCAAACAATGAGCACATGATAGGCATAAATGGTGGCAACAGGTTGGCTAGAATGTGTCACAATTAAACAGTACATCTTATGGGCAAGGTCAAGAGAACAAGATCAGCCATTCACTTTGTTATTGGAATGCAAAATGAGAAGATTCTGTTGGAGAGAACATCAAAACTGTGTTGTAGTACCAGATACTGTGGGCCCTTGGTATCCACTGTTGTTTGGTTCCAGGACATCTCCTCCCCGGATACCAAAATCTGTGGATGTTCAAGTCCCATGTCCCATATATATATATATATATATATATATACACACACAAAAGTTTAAAAAGGGAGATAATTGGTGTTGTATTTTGTGACAAGGCCAAGACGGCTATTCCTGAATATATTTTGAGGAACAAAGACAACCCATAGATTTTTCTGTTGAATCCAGACAAGACGGAGGTGCTCACGGTAGCAGCCTTGAAACCAGGAATTGGGTTGCAACCTCCAGTCCTGGATGGGGTCACACTCTCTTCCAGTGACTATGTTCACAGTTTGGGGGTGCTCCTTGACTCGTCGCTCCTGATGACGAATCAGGTCAAT